GGAGGTGAGGGAGGTGGCGGCGGCGGGGGTGAAGGAGGTGGTGGCGGAGGAGATCTAAGGGGAGGTGGTGGCGGAGAAGGACAAGCTAGTTTTTTATATTTATCAGGAATATTAAAATTGGGAGGGTAATATATGCATAGTTTTGTGCTTATAGTGGCATCACTAGTAGGAGTTGCCAATAATAGGGACACCAAAAATGGCAAAAACCACAATTGGAGTTTCATATTGATAATAAGAAAAATGGTTAATTTGTGTTGCCGAAAACGATGTAAAATGTTCCCATATATATAGGAATATTTATCACCTTTGGTTAGGTTTCCTGAAGCAATGACAATTTGCCTGCCAATTCTACTCTTAAGTCCGACTAGTTGATCTAGAGTTAGGTTGGCCTATTAAGAAAGAGTTTACTTTTATTTTTTTCCTTCTTACTTAATTGTACAAAAAAAAATGTGCATATTTTATGACAATTTTGTGGGTGACAAATTTAATATGTAGAGTAGAGTGATATTTCTTTTCACAATTTCATAATTGTCAGTGACAAAATTTATTGTTGTCACTAAAAATTACCTTGTTAATGATACTTTTAATTTACTCATAAATGTGCATATTTTATGACAAATTCGTCATAATAGTTAACAATGAAAAAATTTATTTTTGTCACTAAATAAAATACATTATTTATGACATTATTAGTTTTTGCCATATATAATTACACATTTTAATGATTTGTGACAATTTAGTATTCATTATTGATAAAAAAAAATCATTCAAAGTGTCTTATTTATGATTCTGTTAACTTTCGTCATAAAATTATATATTTCATAATGACTTTATCACAATTTAATAGTTATAATTGAATTTTTATTATTCTCGCCGAAATGTACTCCATCTATGATAGTTGAAAATAAACTTATAAGATATCATTTTGCACCATAAGAGTCTTGGTGCACCTTAGTGATGTTTCATCTCAAAACCAATTGGCGAAAGTCGGGGTAGCCCACTAGGTTTATAAACGAGGTTCCATTCCAAAACCAATTGTTGATGAGAGGAGTAGCATACTAGACTTACAAGCTAAACCCATTTTCCATATAGAAGTGATGTGCAATAACTCACAAGTGATAGTCCTTCCTACGAAGCCCAAGTCTACAGAGCATGCTTTGTAAAGAGTATGTCATCGCAAGTCCTAGATCAAGTCCTCTCTGATACCATGAAAGAATCGAAAAAATAGGTGCGGTCCCATGCACGTGAAACACACCATAAGATGGTGAGCCTAGGTGCATTTAAGAGAAGTTTCATCCCTTGATGATGAGAGGGTAGTCCACTAAACTTATAAATTAGGTCTATTTTCCGTGTAGGGACAACTCACAAATGATATTCTAATAATATATCTGATATAAATGTTAATAAAATAACTAGTGGACCTTCTAAAAATTTCAATAAGTCATGGCAGGTGTTTAATTTTTCATAGTAGCCATGTGAAATTTCATTAAAAGAAAGAAAAAAATCAATTGCCACGAAAAAATCATGGTAGGTGTTTTAATGTTGTATAGAGTATGGTAGTCATTATTGGAATGAAGAAAATTGAAAATGGCGACTTTCCATCCAGTGAATTTAAAAATTAATTAGCCAATTCCTCAGGGAATTACTTAAATTATAAGAATTAATACACTTACTCGTGCCATGCACGGTTTAATTTGTAATATAATTAAATAATTTTATGTTAATTACCATTTATTTATTTAGTCTAACAATTTCAGTGGAGTTTTATCAGTTTGGTACATTTTTGAAAGATAATTTCTATCAAAATCTATAAGTCTAAAAGCATGTACGATTATTACCTTAAGATTTTAGTTAATTTATATCAAATCGAGACTAAAAGATGAGTCAACTATCAGTTCAATGCTTGAATGATAAAATTTATCAATTCAAAACTTGAAAATTTTAAATTGTCAGTTGTAAACTCCAAAACTACAATATTTTTTTGTATATATTTTTTTATACTGAGATTATTTTTTTCATAATATTTTTATCTTTCAGAGCTCATAGTGATAGTTGACCCGTCTTTAAAGATTCGGATTTTTTTTTTATTTTATATAATCTAAAGATACATGTTATGAATTTTTTTTTTATTCTCGGTTAATTATTTGCATTGCGACAACATATCTAAAAATATATCAATTTAAACTAATCTATTTTATAATGCTTCAAATTGTTGTATAAAATATTATTAATAAATTTAAATATTATTCAAACTTATTAATTAGTATATAAATAATTAGTATTTTACATTATTTTTTGAAATCAATTGTATAATATATATATTCATAATTTATTTATAAGAAACTTATTTGTCTATTATTCGTTTACATGGATATCAATATACCAATATTAGAATATTTAATAACAAAGAAAAAATTAATTTTTATTTTGTATATGAAATATGGTTCAAGTAAAAATTATCAATACAACGTCACAAATGGATATCTAATCAATAGAAATGTGTTAAATAAAAAATTAATCAAGTCATTTATTAGAGATATAAATATTAAATTTAAAAAAAAAAAACTAAAAAATAACATAACTTATAACTATAAAAAAAAGGAAAGTATTATAATAAAAATATATTCAGTAATATGGTAAATTACATTTATACCTTAATATTTAATACAAATAACATTTTAAAAATGAAATTATTAGAAAAAAAAAATATATTTTTTCTACGTAAAAAGAGCTATAATATTTTGGATCCAATGAGTCTCATAGTTTAAAATGGAAATGTGAGACCCAATCTCAGTCATTAAATATGGAACGACAAAGTTTTAATCTTTTATTTATATTTTTTAATATTTAAATATTGATTTGACCAACCATTGATCGCTGACGTTGGCCGTTGACTGTAGTATGCATCATGTGTAAACTAAATATGAATTGTAAATAATGTTTGGTTCTTTTGACTGGTTAACTAGTCACCAAAATGCAGTGGTAGAGAATCCTTTTAGAAGTGCTTCTGATCACAATCTCTTAGTTCATAATGATGATCCAGATCAAACTTTGTATACAGAAAAAGTTGTTCTTCTTTAATAGAAGACGGCATAAGCAAGTACAAGAAACAATTATATTTTAATTTCACATCTAATCTAAAGTGTCACTCCCCAAAAAAAAAAAAAAATCAACTACATATATAGCTAGAGTGGGAAAAAAAAAAACAGAAACGTTCAACTTCATTAGTAATGCTCACCTACCCACGGTGGACACATGTTAATATGTCCACTGCTTATTTGCACTCATACATTGGTGATGTATTTTTTTTAACATATTAACATCACCAATGTGTGCATGCCACATAAGCGGTGGACATATTAACATGTGCCCACCGTGGGTAAGTGCGCATTATCCTCCACTCCATATGTGAAACTAAGCAAATATTCCTCCAGAAGCCTTGCCACTGATTTTTACAGCTTCTACAATTTTTCAGTGAATTCCCAAGTGCCAGAGTTTGCACTGGAAGGAGGAAGGAGATCATTCATAATGTCATCAAATATGTTCTCTTGAAGAGATATACAGCTAATGCTATCTGTAGTAACCCCGACATAGTTTCGAGCGTCAAAGCTCTGGTCAACAATATTGCTGCTATCACAGCCAACAACTTTCGCCCCATTTTCAGAACTCGGCGGGCAAAACGAGACATTATTGTTGTGGGTATCTCCGAGTAAATCCATATCTACATCCATATGTGTTATGGACAGATTAGGATCCAAATAAGTCGTTAAGGTATTATTATTATTATTATGGCCCAAATTCTGCGGGTTAAAACATCTCATGTCATCCATAGCCTCAACGCCATTAATATGGGCTAGTGTCGTGGGCTCGATGTTATTACCACTGTCACGAGCTTTACTCTCGATATTTGTGCTTGGGATGGATAGCTTATTGCTGCTGCGTACAATTTTCGCCTTTCTGTAAAAAAAAAAAAAAACAACAAAACAAAAAATAATGACAACTATTGCTTGACGAGAAGGAGTGCAAACGTGTAAATATATATATATTGGAGGAAATGAATATATTTCTATTAATACCTGACTAACTTGCGATTCGTCAATGCTGCTTTAGACATCAAAATACCTTCAAAACACAAGATGTGTATGATTAGTTTGATTGCACTTGTGTAGTCAAAGTACATAAAGAGAAAGTGGATTAAGCTTGATTCATTATATAATAATTTGAGCCAGAATTTTTGGAAGTTTTGGATTAGTCCAATAATTGAGAAAAAAGTTTGTTAAACAATCGTGCAACTTCCACAATCACCTAATCGTCCAAAGAGGCGTAATTATCCGGATTATCACAACCAATTGATCTCACAACAGTACACTTAAGATTGAAAAAATAGCTATTAATTATTTATTAAATAAGGGACGCTCGAGACTCCTACCCTTTATGATCCTTGTAAAAAAAAAACAATTACAAATCCAGACATTCAAAATATTAATAATACAATCCAGACATACTAAGTATACGGCAGTAAACAGACAAAGGAATTAATAAGTATAGCAATTACAACATCATTCCTCCGAAAGAAATGTCCATAAGCAATACACAATATGCAATCAATATTCAACCTATCCATACCTCTGATGAATGATGCAAGTTGGAAAATTGTTTGATTGATCAAGGAAATAAGCGATTTAACATCAATCATAATCATCGAACTAGGTAGGAATAAAATGAAATGAAACAAAAGGAAGTCATTTGTATTTTAAGCTCTATGCATAGTCAATATGTCAAACAATAAAGGTAAGACTACTCTTTTATGGTTTTGTCACTCAAGAACTCAATGCCTGTTTACAATCTAGAACTTAGAGGAACATAGTGATCCTTAATCCCACAGAATGATGAAAAAAAAAACTCATTAACCTACAAAATTCTGGTTTGCATAAGATAAGCATAAGCTAAAAGTTGAATGAAAAGTTTTGCCTCACGCTCGTTATGCACGCTTATATTTAAGTTGATTCATGAGTCTAAACTTTGATGGATGATTATACGAGAGATTGTTTGAGAACACCTACCAGATGATGAAGATTTTTGACTTTGACTGCGTTTGCTCCTCTCGGCCTTAATTGAAGCAATTACGGAATCTGCAGATGGCCCTAAACCCTTTCTTCCCAGTA